GGACGGAGCCGGGAGCCGTCAATGCGGGGCTCGGCGTGTCATAAGCAGGGAAGCCGGGCGATATCCTATCGTGCTCCGGAAGAACGCCGTATGAGCCTCCGGACGTTGCCGAATTTCCTTTGACAAACCGCGGATTTTCGGGAAAATTTGTAATGGAGATGTTGCATGTGTGAGGAATTTGCAATTTGACTGCTGATTCTGATGTAAAAGTTCGCGATAAACACGATGGTGCCACTGGTTTTCTCTGAAATCATCTCCCAAGCCCAAAAAAAGCTCTCAAGTTGAGGCCAAAATGGAGGGGATATCCCACGCTATCCTGAGAGTCCACCTCTACATCAAGACAAACTCTCCATGCAAAGGTTGGGAGCAAATACATTGACAGAGCTGCCACTTTATTTGGGGACTCTAAAACTGAAAATACGGCAACCCTGCTAATGTATTTGTTCCCTATCTTTGCATGGAGAATTTGTCTTGATGTAGACGTGGACTCTGCGGGTAGGGTGGGATATCCCCTCCATTTTGACCTCAACTTGAGAGCTTTTTTGAGCTTGGGAGTTGATTTCAGAGAAAACCAGTGGCATCGTCGTGTTTTTCGCGAACTTTCACATAATAGTCCATAGTCAAATCGCAAATTCCTCACACGTGCACCATCTCCATTTGGAACTATAAATTCTGGCTCATCTGAAAGAACACAGGTGTGCATAGGGAAACTAATGGCAAATACTGTTTTTAAACCGGGCTAGACTTTATAGTTCCTCGTTGCAAATTGTAGTCCATTTGCGGACCCACCCTGGCTGAATGGGTCAGTTGCGCCGGTCACAGAATCAATCCGGTGCGGGATATCAAGCCAAGTTAGGTTCGGTTGGGTTTAGCAACTAAACTAACTCCGCGGTGAAGCTTGCGGTATCAAGCGAAATTGAAGGCGCTTCGCTGTGTTCTTGCAGCTCAGTTATACAACTCCCTCAGAGAAAACCAGCGGCACCATCGTGTTTCTCGCCAACTTCCGAATGCTCTTACGGCGTTTTTGCGGAGCACTGAAGTATCCGACCCAGCGGCCGCGCGCCGTCTTCTGCCCGCCGGAAGACGTCTCCGTTCCCGGGAGAGATAATCGCTTTTCACGTCTACAAGATAAACAACAAGCCCCCGCCCCCCGCCGCGCCCCACGGACGGCTTCAGTTCCGCATTTTCATTTTCGATCCCCCCTCATCCCCCCTCATTCCCCCTATTCCCATCCTCTCGTGCCCCTCCTTCCCTCATTCTCGCTTCACGTCCTGCATCTACCTCTTGAGATGGTGAACAGAGAGCGAGGCGTTGATGAGATCGCCGATGCATCCGTAGACTCGCTCTTACTGCCCCTTCGATGTCAGTGACAGGGATTGAGCAAATTAAGGCGTTTTTCGGTGTTGACGCCACTTTGGTTAAAACTGTGATAGGGATTGAAAAAATAATTAAGGTGTTTTTTGGTGTTAACGCCTTTTTGGTGTTTTAAAGGTGTTTTTCGGTGTCACTTTGGTTAAAACTATGACAGGGATTGAAATAATAACTAAGGTGTTTTTTGGTGATGTGGACTCTTAGGATAGCGTGGGATATCCCCTCCATTTTGGCCTCAACTTGAGAGCTTTTTTTGAGCTTGGGAGTTGATTTCAGAGAAAACCAGTGGCACCATCGTATTTCCCGCGAACTCTTACATAAGAATCAAGAGCCAAATCGCAAATTCCTCACACACGCAACATCTCCATTTGGCAATATCCGAATGCTCTTTCGGCGTTGTACCCACTTTGGTGTTTTACAGGCGTTTTTCGGTGTTAACGCCACTTTGGTGTTTTAAAGGCGTTTTTTGGTGTTAACGCTACTTTGGTTAAAACTGTGCAGTGTACAGTGCTGTAAAGTTTTACATTCCCCCCCGGAAAAAACTATCAATTTTAAGTTTGTACATTATCAATTTCTTATTTTGAAGTGCATAAACTTTGATTTCAGTAATTTTCGATGCTCAAGCCGTGTTCTACGTGAAATTCTCTTTATGAAACATTTATCAGAATGCTTGAATTTGTACCTTCTCTAGTGGTTCCATTCTTTGAAGACTTCAAGGAACGTTTTTGTTTTGTCCTCCTGCAAAAAAATAATAAAAAGGGAGCGGAGATTCTCAAACACCGCTTACGAGATACGGGTCCGGTAGTTTTACCGTCGTAATGTGCATCACATAGTCTTCATTCACCGTGCTTGATCAGTGCGAACAGATTACAAAGTAAACTGCTGTGCTCTTGAAATTTCTGCTTAAAGTTTGTCTGCACACAGTGCAAATATACTAATCCATCCACGCAGTGGGTTTAAGACGAAACCGAGCTGAGAACCCGCGCTCTAAACGTCGCTCCTCTGACGTAAGGGCGTATCTCAATTTCCACATGAGCCCCGGAAAGCATAGGATTATACGGAGAACAGGGCTCACGCTCAAATTGAGATACGACCTTACGTCAGAGGAGCGACGAAAAGAGCGACCGCGATATTGACAAAGCCAGAGAAAATGAACTTGTTGCAGATGAATCTCTACTCAAACGCGAGCGAGCCAAGCAAAATATTTGCTCCTTGCGGAGAAGTTGCGAANAAATCAATGTTTTTAGTCTTCTTCAGAAATAACTTATGTAAATAGCAATTTTTCTCGGATTTTCATCACTCAAATGGTAAAAGTAAAGGCAGATTTGAAATTTACAACAAAAATTACCCCACGATCACGCTCCTTGATTCAAAATGATGCGTTTTAAAGCCACAGTTTCGAGGTGGTTCAGGAAATCAATGTTTTTAGTCTTCTTCAGAAATAACTTGTGTAAATAGCAATTTTTCTCGGATTTTCATTACTCAAATGGTAAAAATAAAGGCAGATTTGAAATCTACGACAAAAATTGCTCCAGAGGTGTCCTCCTTACTTAAAATTGATGCGTTTTAAAACCGCAGTTTCCAGGTGGAAATCAATGTTTTAGTATTTTTCAGGAACAACTTATGTAAATAGCAATTTTTCTCGGATTTTCATCACTCTAATGGTGAAAATAAGGGCAGATTTGAAATTTACGACAAAAATTGCTCCGGAAATGTCCTCCTTACTTAAAAATGATGCGTTTTAGGGCCACAGTTGACAAAAAAACGCAAGTTGTCGAGCGCATGTCCGGGCAAACCGGCCTTTCGCCACACCGTGCGACGGAACATCGCCAAAAGATTCCTTTTTTAAAGTCAAAAATAACTGTATTTCACTCTCATATGAAGTAGCATATTCTTACCCCAATTGCTTTCAATTATCTTAACATTTTCGGAAATGATAATGATTCAAGACACGCTTTAAAAATGTACGCCAAATATTACGATTAAAATATAAAACTTGAAACACGTGCGATTACAAATTTGCTAAAATAACTGTTTACGTCATATTCGTTAAAATTGATGACACGGATAACCGAATTGAAATCATGCTACATTGCCCGCGAACAGCCGCTCCTCTATGAACTGATTGTGGGAAACTAACTGCATACCCTGTCGATGTTGCCAGATATTTGAGATCTGATGTGTGCGGAAATGATTATGTGCGGCAACGATATTCGGAAAAATTACCACCAATGTACTTTGTGCAGAAAAGATATTCTGCCGTAATGTCACACGGGATTCCACGGTAGTAAAACTGTCAATTTTGGTAAGATTATTGAGCATAGTAGCGTAACTATGCCGATGATGGCATTTTTGTGCACACACTATATTTTCCTTTAATACATATTTTCCCCTCATGAATTTAAATGAGAACAATCCATGCAGAGTGTGCAAACATTTCAAAATCATGAGCTGAATAACGCTGACTCTTCGAGTTTAAATATAAGAGCCTAACATAGAGCGGAGCAGCGTGCTGCTAGTGCGAAAAGCACACTGGCGCCTACAAACCTAAGGGGATACTGCACGCATTGCGCAATGCTTGAAGTATCCTTTTAGGTTTGTAGGCGTCAATGAGCTGGCTGGCCACCTGCCGCGCCGCAGCGTGCCACGACGCCTCAAGCAGCTATTTCTCAACAGAGGTGTTGCATAGTATCATAAGAAATTGAAGGCAATCCAATATATTAAGAATGACATGCATCCTTCAAGAGCACGGAGCTTTCCTCGCAAAATGAATCAAGATACTACGACCGGTACAAAAGGAGAGCGGTAGTCCAAAAACTCACCAAGTTCTAGAATCCGTATTTAATAACGTTTATAGTTTTGAATTTCATTAGAGAAAGAAGTGACTTGATTTAGGTAGAAACATCCTTGAGTATGCCGCCAAGAAGATTTTATTTTGAATCAAGAATAAAATCGCTGAATGAAAGCGGGTTTTTGCTCGTTGTAAGTGACTTTTCTCTTTATATAAGCATTTTATCTTCATTAAACAAGCATTTTTTTCCCTTATTGATTCAAGGGGAAACCTTCTTGGCGGTAAATTTGAGCTTACTTCTGCTTGAATCAAGTCACTTTTTTCCTCTAAAGAAGTTCAAAAATTATCCTCAACTTTATTGTATACAGATACAAGAACTTAGTAAGTTTTCCGACCACCGCTCTCTCTTTGCCGTCGTCACTAGTTTTAATTTTCGAGGGAACTTCGTGCTTTTGAAACATGCCATCAATCATGATACGTTGAGGTGCCTTCAATCTCTTATGATACTGTGCAATGCCTCCATGGTGAAATAATAGCTCGAAGCAGGCGCCGGTGCCGAATCATCGTAGGTACACAGGAAAAATCTAAGAGGCTTTAACTGAGGCAAATCAGAAGGTTTATCCGATGCAGGTACAAAAAGATGGTATTTTCTTGAAAGATAATTAAATCCAGTTGCACCAAAGAAGTGTAGAGAGTTTTAGTGAATTTTCCCTCATGGAAGTGGACTGTATTTTGCAATTTGGAACTTTAAATTCTGGCTCTTCTGGAAATTTATTGGTTTCGAAAGTGTATTGGACTTTTTGAATAATTAAAATTATTTTGGATTTCGTTGTTGCAGGGAATGCGATACCTGCATTCTTGTCCCCACCGGGTCCACGGTTCTCTGACGTCACGGAACTGCGTAATCGATGCGAGGTGGGTGCTCAAGATAACCGACTACTCGATGACCACCTTGTACGAAGCGCAGAACATAACACCACCCGAAAAAAGCGCCAGAGGTAAAATACGAATCCAAGAATTGTCATCTCAAATAGATAAGACGATCCAAAAATTCAAATAGGTGGGGGGATTTTCCTGATCGCAGTGGATGGAAAATAAAAATCTGAACAACTAATATACAGGTTGATCCAAAGTTAAGCCGCCAGACTGCAGGGGCGTGCCATAGGGTCCAAAAAAGACTTTTTTCTCTTAAGAAATTCTTTTCAAAAGAGTTTTCATGGGACTACAGCCCTCCAAAGGTTCTGGGAAAAATATGATTTTTCCTAAATTTCATTAATGGTAGTATTCCGTACCTCACAAAAATTGATAGGGACGTATTTCTGCCAAACGGAACTATGTGCATTATGACGCGAGCCGTGGCATGCATATATTCTTATTGGTCTCAGGGCTCATGTCTTAATGCACATAGTTCCGTTTGGCAGTAATACGTCCATATGGGTTAAAGAATCTCTAGCCTACTTAAAAAACGCTTTTGCGAACAATTTATAAACGAAAAAAGGCTTGTTTTGACCTATAGAACACGCTCATGCAGTCGAGTGTTTTAATCTTCGATCAGCCTGTTCTTGTGGATGTACTGCCTTTTTTTCGTTATAATCAAAATAAGCAAAAAGTTATTCAATTTAATTCGTAATTAAGAAAATCGTTATTAATTCTTGGGAAAAAAAAAATTCTTGAAAATTGTCATTGATTATTAACAAAGACATAAAGACGGAGCGCTCGTATCTAAAAGCACGGGGGAAAAGTGAAGCTAGGTTCGGCGCTGCGCGCTTGTGTGAGTGTGTAAATGAGCGCGGGAATCCATGGCGGCAAACGGAAATTTGATTTGAACTTTTCCTCTTGATTTTTGCACATTTCTTCTTTGAAACGTATTTTAAATTCCTAAAACGAATATACTAAGAAAGTTCGGTCTGCGTCCTAATATAATACACCTACTTTTGCTCGGTAACAGGCAGTAATCTCAGATAAAGTTAGTTTTTCTTCTGCTCCTGGTGGTTCTGCAGGTTCAAACAGGCCGTTACAGTTCTAGATCAACGTTACTCCCAAATGAAATTAATCGATCGACGACGGACTGAAACTAACCTAAAGTTAAAAAAATATGAGTGTGTACCTGAATTTGGGCAAAAATCAACCTAAAATACTTTGTTTCCGCAATTTTATTTATTAGTTCCCGCCCTACATTTGAATTCAAACTTGTCCCGATTTCGCCGCCAATCCTCTAGCCAATAGTAGAGGTGATTGAAAAGAAGCTCTGGAAGCTTCATTTTTTGCTTTTAGTGCTCCGTCTTTATGTCTTTGATTATTAATCAACCCAACTCAAGGAGTACTTGTTGCATGCACCATTTAGACGAAGTTGATTTCAGAGCGATATTTTCCAGTTTAAGTCTTGACTTTTTGTCATTCCAATTTCAGAATTGTTGTGGACAGCCCCCGAGCTGTTGCGAAACCCAGTTCTTGGAAGGCGGGGGTCTCAGTCCGGGGACGTTTATAGTTTTGCAATCATCATGCAGGAGGTCGTCGTTCGGGGAGAACCTTTCTGCATGCTGTCACTCACACCAGAAGGTATTATACCATATATTTATCAACTTTTAGTGTATTTTCCGAAGGAAATACACTATTGCATTCTCCCATGATGTCGAATCCAGACCTGAGACATTGTGAAGAGCACCGATCACGGGTCGTAGATCACGAAAATATATGCCATTCTTACGTTGAAAGATATTTTGACCAATTTTTTTGCATTTTGTAGAGACTCATTAGGACTACTATTCTGGGGGAAAAAATTGAAATTTGAGGCAATAGATTTTGAGGGGTGGGGCTCGAAAGTGGGGGGAGGTCAAATCTTGTCCACTCGATAACTCGAGCGAAAATGAATATTTTGAGCTGAAATTTTTACGGGTGGTAGTTCTCCCCTAGGACTGGTTTGGTATTGAATTTGAGCTAAATCGGCCGAGCCGTTTAAAAATGGCGAGCTTTGAAAGTTTTAGGCGAGGGGTGCGCGGCATGAGGGGAGCCGGCCGGAGCAGGGCCGCACAGTAGGTCGGGGGAGAGAGTTTTTGGTCAAGCTGATCGTTGCACAGTGGGTCAGGGGAGAGAAGTTTTTGGACAAACTTTTCGTCGCACAGTGGGTCAGGGGAAGGAAGATTCTGGACAAATTGTTCGTCGCACAGTGGGTCAGGTTAAATGATCTGTTCTTGAACAAAATCTCACCATTTAACCGTCACAACCTTTCGCAGCGCGTTCGCTGGCAACGTACGCAACTACTATCTTGTGCTCAAGAAATTAATTAATTCCCTTACAGACTGATCCCCCCCCCTTCGGAAAATACACTCTTCCCGCGGTGGACGCGCGGGTCCCTTAAGAAGACAGAACAACTGGAATGGACACTCAAACTAAAAAGCGCGCGCGGAGCGCCGGTTTTTTTTAATTTTTTTTTTTCACGAGATGATTCTAAAATGTTTAAGGGAACACCGGGATCCGTAGATGGCGCACTGAAAAAAAATTCTCGGCGTTTTTACCACGGTCCGTTGGTATCTTTACCATCTCACTTTTTTTTTACCAATTATTGGTAATTTTACCAAGACAGACTGGTATAAGCTGACCTGAATACCACTTTTATTGGTAATCAATTCCCGGCAACTTTGCCATTTTTTCTCGGTAATTCTACCACAGTCGATAAAAAAATATTGGCGTTTTTACCGAGGTCCAGTAAAATTACCGAAAAAATTCAATAATTTTACCGAGATTTTTCGGTAAAATTACCAATTTCATAAATGGGAATTTTACCAAGAAAAAACTGGGATCAAATAGAACCCTGAATTCTTGGTAATTTTACCCTTTTCTTAGTAAATACACCGAGATTTTTTTTTCAGTGCGTCATACATTTTAAGGAAGCTGCACAATAAAAAAATTGGAATGGATTAAGTATGGAAAAGATAGGTAGTTATCACAGTCTGACCTATTTGGACGTATTTCTGTCGAACGGAACTAAGAGCCATAGGGGGAGGAGGGTAGAGGGGGGCTAGGATTGGCGGCGGAACCGGGCGTCGGGCTCATTCCGTCCTATACTCGCAGTGCTTTTCCATGGCGCTTAGTTCCGTTTGACAGAACGCGCTATCCGGCATTCTAAATTCAAAAGGAACTCCAATTGGCGCTTAGTTCTGTTTGACAGAAATACGTCCATTTAATAGTCTGTCACTGAACAAACGGGTTAGTAACATAGAGTCTTAATTTAAATGGGAGAGCTGGCGCCATGTTCTACTCGACGAGTTCCGGGCCCGGTGTGTGCCGAGCTTCGGTCACTTTTTCATTATATTTTCGATGTAAAATGGCAGTGTGGAGTACGTGGTGATTCCATTTAATTCTTATCTCCTTTGTTTACATTGGATGGCCGGGTACCCGTGTTTCGAAGACAATCGATCATGTATCGAAAAAGTGACCCGGTGTCACACAGGAGTCTCGGAATTCGGGACCTAGAATATGCTTAAAATTGACGCCAGCTCTCCCACTTACATTACGACTCTATGAACTCTACGGCAAGTAATGGTACCAGTTTAGCCCGTAAATTAAGAGAATTTGAATCGTATTTCCAAAATTTTAAGAAAGCGGTCTCTGCCAATAGTAATCATCTGCCAGTACCCGATAATCGCGAAAACTATAAAAGTTGGTTCAGTAGGTCTCTACAGCAACTTATCCAAGCCGAAAAAAAAAATTAAAAAAAAAAATTTGAAGAGTCATCGATGCGATACCACTTATCTCCGTTTTCAACGTTGTAAACCTCCGGTCATACTTTATTTCTTCTTAGAGAAATTAGTCAACGTAGTATCTTGAAAAATTCCTTCATTTCTCTTCTCTGTTAGTGCAACATTTTGTAAAAATGCCAAACTACATAGTTGACTCGTTCCCCTTCGAAAATAAACCAGGGGTGAAGATATTGAAATACCGCAATTGGAGATACGTGTTGTCGCCTTTTGGTCATCGTTTTGATATTGGTATGGGGGAGTGTTCTCATATCAACTTTTGAATTCTCATGAGGAATTGATTTTTGTCGTCCGACGAAAGTTGAGCGAGACTTTATTTCTTGTTCCACAAAATGTTGAGTTCATTCGCTGGACACCCTATTCTCCGCAGGAAGTTGATTGAACCCTCGTTTCGTTTCAGATATAATCGAGAAGGTGAAACGACCGCCGCCCCTAATTCGACCGTCGGTGAGCAAAGGGGCCGCCCCTCCAGAAGCAATAAATATCATGAGACAATGTTGGGCCGAGCAACCGGACAAACGACCCGATTTTAACAGCATCTACGACCTTTTCAAGACGTTAAATCACGGAAGGTTCGTACTTATGGTCACGCACTATTTTGCCTTGACAAGGTGCGTTCTCTGAAGGCATCAGAGAAAAACTTTGTTGATTTTTCATAGATTACCCGATGACAAACTTTCGTCTTGTGACTATCATGGTGGCTCAAATAGACATTGAGGTTACCTCAACGCTCAGCGGCCTTGCCCAGCACTTTGAAAGGTGCTGGGCGATTGCGTTGGCAGATGACAGTCATCGAGTAATTAGCGAGAAGTCAGCAAGTTTTCAAGAACGATCGTCAAACTCTCATATAAAAATAAAAGCACAACATATAAAAGAAAATGAAAGTGCTTTAAAAATAATTAAAGAACGGAACAACCTCAATATTTAGAAAATACACATTATACCTTCCATTAATACGTAAGTTTTTTCTATCAATTCAAATGGGAATAATCCATGCAGAGAGTGCAAACATTTCAAAATCATGAGTTGGAAAACGCTGACTCCGCGAGTTTAAATATAAAAGCCTAACACACAGCCGAGCAGCGGCGCGCGTACTGCCAGCGCGAAAAGCACTATGGCGCCTACAAACCTAAGGGGATACTTCACGCAGTGCGCAATGCTTGAAGTATCCCCTTAGGTTTGTAGGCGCCAATGCGCTGGCCGGCCGACCGGCCGCCGCGCCGCAGCGTGCCACGACGCCTCAAGTAGCTATTTCACAACAGAGGTGTTGCACAGTATTATAAGAAATTGAAGACGCTCCAACATATCAAGAATGACAGACATCCTTTAAGAGCACGGAACTTTCCTCGCAAAATAAATCATGATACTACGACCGGCACAAAAAGAGAGCGGTAGTCCAAGAACTCCCTAAGTCTAAACATCCGTATTTAATAACGTTTAGAATAATTTTTGAATTTCACCAGAGAAAGAAGTGACTTGATTTAGGTAGAAACAGTTTTGAGCATGCCGTCAAGAAAATTTTATTTTGAACCAAGAAGAAAATCGCTGAATGGAAGCGAATTTTTGCTTGTTGTAAGTGACTTTTATAAACATTTTTTCTTCTTTAAACAAGCATTATTTTCCTTATTGATTCAAGTGGAAATCTTCTCGGCGGTAAATTTGAGCTTACTTCTGCCTGAATCAAGTCACTTTTTCCTCTAAGAAGTTCAAAAATTATCCTCAACGTCATTGTATACAGATACAAGAACTTAGTAAGTTTTCCGACCACCGTTCTCTCTTTGCCGTCGTCACTAGTTTTAATTTGCGAGGGGATTTCGTGCTTTTGAGAGATGCCATCAAACATGATACTTTGGGTCGCCTTCAAGCTCTTATGAAACTGTGCAATGCCTCCTTGGTGAAATAGTAGCTCGAAGCAGGCGCCGGCCCGAATCATCGTAGGTCACTCGCTCTTGGCCGCATGGTAGATGTGATGGTAAATGTTACCGCCTAGGCCAGATTGAGAAAGTGAGTGGCTGAAAAATAGTGGAGTCTTGACTTTAAAGAAAATTATTCCAAGCTATCGTCCACCAAATCTAACTACTCAAACGTTCAATTTTAATTTAAAGTTGGAGGAGACGACTTTGAGGCCTGAATTATTTTACACGAAACCGTAAAATCCTCATATCCTTCGACCATATCATGGAAAATTTTTTCGTCAAGTTTTTAAAACAGGTATTTTCAATTGATTTCTCTTCATCATCAGGAAAGCGAACTTCGTCGACACGATGTTCCAAATGTTGGAGAAGTACTCGAACAATTTGGAGGACTTGATTCGGGATCGGACGGAGCAATTAGACATGGAGAAGAAAAAAACCGAGCAACTCTTAAACAGAATGTTACCAAGGTACGCAAAGTTGACAATCTTTAGTCCCTTTTTGCTCCCCTCTAGACCGAATCTTTCAATGGAATTGTTTTATCGAAATTGCAATTTTAATATCAAGGGTGGACTGGCTTCATTTTTCTTGGGGGGGGGGCGGGCCCCGTCAAAAGGGAACCCCCCCCCCCATCCTTGGAATAAAGAAGAAGAAAGGTTCGAAAGAGGTAGTAAGAAGCTCTGCGAGATTTTTTAAAAAGTGATGGATGGGGCCCCACAAATTTCCGAAAATTGGCTTCTACGAGGTTATTATGTAAATAGTTTAGGGAACAATTGCACGCTAGCCTTCCGGGCCAGTCTGCCCCTGGTTAGTATAACCTTTGTCAAGCAATTCTCAAAACTCCATACTTTTGAATATTTTAGGTTTTTTCTTTTTTTCTTTCTTTTTTCTTTTTTTTAAAAGAGAGAGAAAAAATTAAAATACAAACTTGGATCGCATTTAGCAAAAAGGAGCCAGCGCGATTAAAATGTTTTCAAAATTGTGTAATTTCTTTTCTTTTAAAAATACTTAACATTTTCCTTCAAAATTACCACTTTTTTGTCGGGAAGCAAAAACTACTTGCTATTCTGGGAGATTTTTCAGATAATTATAAAGAAGCAACATCTCTACAACACTGTAATCGTGCTGGTTCCTCTTTGTTAAATGCGATCCCCTTTGTCAGCATGCATCTTCTCTGAGAGATCACTCCGGAGTACTTTCTTTCTAACATTTTCATCCCTCATCTAATTTTTAAGGAAACCTACATCTTTTATTAAGTCATGAATTGAAAGTTTTTTCCATCAAAATTTTACGAGGCGTTTTTTTTTCTAATCGCTCGAATTTTTTCACTCAGCACGGTAGCGGAAAAGCTGAAGCTAGGAATGCCGGTGGATCCGGAGGACTTCAAAGAAGTGACGATCTACTTCTCGGATATCGTCGGGTTCACGACGATAAGTGCGTACTCGACACCCTTTGAAGTCGTGGATCTCCTCAACGACCTCTACACCTGCTTCGACGCGACAATAAACGCATACAATGTCTACAAAGTGAGTAGACCCGTAAACTGATATCATTCTCGTGAGTACTTTAAGGTGACTCTGTGACCGACCCGGGGAATTTTTTCCGACTTTCCTCGCCAAAATGGAGATGTTGCATATGTGAGGAATTTGCGATTTGACTGTTGATTCTGATGTAAAAGTTCGTGAGAAACACGATGTGGCCACTGGTCTTCTCTGAAATTAACTCCCAAGCTCAAAAAAAGCTCTCAAGTTGAGGCCAAAATAGAGGGGATATTCCAGGCTATTCTGAGAGTCCACCTCTACATCAAAACAAACTCTCCATGCAAAGATAGGGAGCAAATACACTGACAGGGCTGCCACTTTATTTGGGGACTCTAAAACCGAAAACACGGCATCACTGCTAATTTATTTGCTCCTTATTTTTGCATGGAGACTTTGTTTTGATGTAGAGGTGGACTCTCAGGATAGCGTGGAATATCTCCTCCATTTTGGCCTCAAGTTGAGAGCTGTTTTTGAGCTTGAGAGATGATTTAAGAGAAAACCAGTGGCACCATCGAGTTTCTCGCGAACTTTTACATAAGAATCAACAGTCAAATCGCAAATTCCTCACACATGCAACATCTCCATTCTCGCATTCCAGACGGAAGCACGTAACTGCATTCCAGCGTCGCCACATTTCTATTCAAAAATCAATTCGTTAGCTCAGAACTTTTCGACATATCTGACCGAAAATTTTCCTGCATGATTAGTCATCTGATCCCACGTTAAAACTTTCATAAATCTGTACAGAAAATTGCCTTCACAGTATTTCTAAAATTTAAATTGTAAAAAATTAAATTTTTTCCATTAATATTGCAACCTTGAAGTGGAGTTACGTTTATCCATAGATAAGCCAGAAATAGTAGTAGAAAAATGGAAAGATGATGAATATAGTGAAATAATGTCTAAATGTTCTTAATTCTCCAGGTGGAGACAATCGGTGACGCTTACATGGTTGTGGGTGGTTTGCCCGTGCGGATTCCGGACCACGCGGACCAGATCGCCACTATGGCTCTCCATCTCCTCCACCAGAGCGGGAAATTCAAAATCAGGCATCTGCCCTTCACACCTCTCAGACTACGGATAGGACTCCACACAGGTAAGATTGCAAGTCGATTAAAAGATTTCAAGAGCTCATAAATTTATTGCATTGTATAATGGATGAAGGTGAGGTACAGATATCAGGCAATGGACTACTAGACAAGGTACGAATTTAAGCATTCTGATACATGTATCTTAACGAGAATTTCACTTAGAACACGATTCGAGCAACGAAAATTACTGAAACCAACTCCTAACGAAGATATTAACGTTTTTATTTCACATTGGTTACGAGGAATTTGAACTGCCCGCTCACAAGAAACTCATACCTCTTCGCGAGTCAAATCGCGCATTACAACGGTTTCAGCGAGCTTCTCAATCGAGCAATGTTCATTTCCCATCATGTGTTGTTCAAACTATACGCAATTTGCTATAGCTGAGCCAAAGTGTCATGATTGAGGTTGCCAGACTTTTATATCGCAGAGACTGTCATGATAACGTTTAGCGCGCGATGTGAATCACGTAGAGCATTGAGTTTTCATGAGCGGGTGGTTCGAATTCCCGCATCAAGAATCATTAAATATCTTCTTAAGGAGTTAAATCGGTAATTTTCGTTGTGTGCGTCGTGTTTTACGTAAAATTTTGGTTAAGAAACATGTGTCAGAATGCTGAAATTCGTACTTTATCTGGTGGTCCATTAGCAGTCGCCGGCAATTTACAAGCCAGTGGTGAATAAATACATATAGAAAATCATAAGATTCAAAAATAAAAGAACAACATTAGAGTGCTGATTATGTTGCCCATAATGTGAACGGTCACTTTTCCATCCTTAAAAACATGGCAGAAATATGCACACTCAGGTGAGCGTGCAGTGAACTCTGGGACATTAGTCGGGTTGAGATCGGACAGGCAACGAAACTAACATCACTGCCGGAAGTTGCCGTTGCTTGTTTCCAGATATGGTGACTGGAGACTGCCTGGAGACTGGAGGAGATGCAGAAAATTCGAAAAAACTTCTTCCAAAATAAGCAAATTACACACTAAGGAGTGGATTTTTGACTTTTTCAATGTGACCGTCGGTCGTGATCTTTGTGTTAAAACCCCTGATAATATTATTAACACACCTGTATCTCTTTTGTGCAACTGACTCATTCAGGGAGTTAATACTTACCATCAGGGGTAAAAACTACCCTGGTAAAAATTGGCGATAAGAGCTGCGTTTCAAAATACCATAGGAATTCTTATAGCCGGCTAAAGAAGGCTACAGAAAATCATATAGCTGGCTGTAGAATGCGAAGAAAATCATACGGCCGGGCTATACGAAGCGATAAAAAATTATGCAGCCGGGCTATAGTTCTTATCGCCGGGCTTTACACTTTATCGCCTGGCTGTTGCTTTTTCGCCATCGATTATAAAAGGCTATAAGAGATTGTGTAGAAATTCGTGTGCTTCGGAAATCATTAAGTCAGATACGGAACCACCTTAATATTTACAAAACACACATTATATTTTACTTTAATACATATTTTTTTCATCGATTAAAATGAGAATAATCCATACAGGATGTGCAAACATTTCAAAATCATGAGTTGAATAACGCTGACTCCACCAGATTAAATATCAGAGCCTAATACAAAGCGGAGCGGCGACGCACTGGCGCCTACAAACCTAACAGGGATACTTCCCGCATTGCGCGATGCGTGAAGTATCCCTGTTAGGTTTGTAGGCGCCAATGCGCGTTTCGCGCTGGCTGCCCGCCTGCCGCACCGCAGCGTGCCACGGCGCTTGAAGCAACTATTTCACACCAGAGGTATTGCACAGTATCATACGAAACTAGTTTTTACCAGGGTACCGACTATTAACCGGAAAATTTTCTCCTATATCCAATATTTTTATCTTACAGGACCGTGTTGCGCTGGTGTGGTTGGTCTAACGATGCCGAGGTATTGTTTGTTTGGTGACACCGTAAATACAGCATCACGATTAGAATCATCAGGTATGTTTTCGACTTACCTTTTAAACCAGCATACAACGAAAAATGTACCCGATGAAATCCCAACGTTGGAGAGTAGAATCATGATTTGCGAGGCGTGACAAAACAATTTAAGTCCTCTCAGGAGTTAGATAAAAAAAGTTCCTACCAATTGAATTTCTGTGACGTTTTATTACAATTCAATTGACAAGTAGAAGAAACGTGAACATGCAAGTATTAAAAATATTCGAATAATCTAATCAGAAAATTTTGAAGGTTTAATTTTTTTGGTGTAGGTGTCGCAGACAAAAAGTTAAATCAAAACAATATGTTAAAACCTAGGTAAACAACTCATTTCAATTTCAAATTAAAATTCTGAGAATTTTTCCGTATAATTATTAGAAGATGTTATGGAAAAAATGACGTACCATCCATTCTGGGTTACGAGGCCGCAAATTCCGGTTTTAAGAGCTGTCGCTTCAGCCAAATGGACGTATTTATGCTAAAAAGAGAGAGAGAGACGGGTGGGAAAGAAGGTGTGTGCTCGCTAGTTAAGGGCCGTAAGAATGAATGGGAATTATAAAGCGCCAGTGACGTCAGTGACAAACATAGAGAAAAAAAGAGGGTGTTTGCATTTCGGGCATCTTGGAATTTTTTTGATGACGTAGGTCGGTACAGCGACTTTCATCATAGATTTTCTTGGAAATGGTGTAATTTATGGAAAAAAGTCATTCTATAAAAAGCGCTTGAAATTATATCATGAGTTGATTTAAGTAAAAAATCGGACATTATGGTCCGTTATTCATATTTCGAATTCCGGATTTCGCTGGCCAGGTTGTACCGACCTACGTCACAGGGTAAACAAACCTCAAGATGCAAACGCCTCCTTTTTCTCTCTATGAGTGACGAAGACTATGGTGGACTGAGGAGCTCGGTGGTGGGGCACTTTAACTCATGAGCCCTGTCCAAAACGCTCTTGTCACGTGCCCGCGGCTCATGAGTTAGCAATCATATTTAGGCGCTTAGTTCTTTTACTTGAATGGTATATCTCTTTTTTTTCAATCTTGCCAAAAGAAATCACGCCCACTTTTACATTGTTTCTTATGCAACTTGCACGATTCCACCCCATCTTTCCCACACGTTTCTAGTTCCTTTTAGCATAAATACGTCTTATTAATGACACAGAAGAGAGAGACACGGTAATATCACTTTAGCTATTTTCTTCTAGTTTACACACGCTAGACGAGCGTGTGAATTCAGCTTGGTCAATTCTTTCAAAGTCAACATAAACACGGAGTGAACGCTAAGAAGCCAGCTTATAAAATTCTCTTTTTCGAAGCGCGTCGCGAGATTTTTTCTACTTCAAGAGACGCTTCACTCTAAGAATTTATTTTTGATGGAAAATGTCTCTCTTGCTGTTTCGCTTTGAGATTTTTGCGCGAGATTAATGAGTTCTTTCCTTAGATGGAATGTGACCGTGCCATGTTATTACCTTTGCTGCAGTTGGGTCGTCAAATATTGAGAGGAAAGTACGGTCTTTCCATGATCTTTCAAAGTGCTTTTATCGAAAATTCCGCATGAACGCACTAGCAAATGTATTTACCCACCAAACAACCCCTTTATTAGCCTGTTGAGTCAGAGCTGAGCAAATTTTACTTGCCCCCTAATCAGGGGTTTACTAACTAATTAACAGTTTGCAGCGGTTGAGTCTATGGCATGCGTGGACTTTAAATTGCGAAAAATGAAAATCTTGGCTGATCCCAATTTCAAGAAATCGCAATTTGAAATGTTCACAGTAAATGCAAGTTTTTCACTGATTCCGATTAGCTTTTTTATTTATTTGTCTATTGAATCGGTGTTGATCGGTTCACGTTATTATTTTTCGTTCGATTCATGTCGATCAAATACGTACCCTCTCGTTACATCTAGACTACCTATCATACTTTTTTTTTTTTTTTTTTTTTTTTTTTTTTTTTTTTTTTTTTTTTTTTAACTGAGCAATTCGCCTTCAGCTGCTTCTGCAGCAATTGCTCTTACGGATATGTTGTGCGTTCTGATCTCAGCTAATTACATAATTGCCTCTCTGAAGGCGTCTTATGTGCGCGCAAGTAGAGCACCCTGTTGGAGAACAACAGAAGTAAGATTGAATGAATCGCTCATCTGTATTTCGATCGTTCTTCGAAAGATTGCGCTACTTGCGCACATAAAACGCCTTCAGAGAGTCAAGTATGTAATGATCTAAAATCAGCACGCACAACATATTCGTAACAACAATTGCTACAGACGCAGTAGAAGGCAAATTGTTCAATTAAAAAAAAAAAAGAGTATGGTAGGTTGGTAGGTAGTCTGCATGTAACGAGAGGGTATGTATTCGATCGACATGAATCGAACGAAAAATAAGAACGTGAACCGATCAACACCGATTCAATGGACAAATAAATAATAAAGCGGATCAAAATTAGTAGAAAACTTGCATTTACTATAAAAATTTCAAATTGCTATAACTCGAAATTAGGATCAGCCAAGATTTTGATTTTTCGCGATTTGAAGTCCACACGTACCACAGACTCACCCCCTGCAAAATGTTTTGGGGAATTTTTGTCGCATTTTTTTTTACCTCAAGACTACTGTGCACGACCAACGCGAATATCGAACTGATAAATCATTGTTCTGTTGTTCTGCTAATGTTGCACTATTTGGCAACTTTCGACAAATCACTCGAATTCCCCAATTTGTCACGGTGAACACGAGTGTACATACAACACGGACACCTCTTTTGCAGAACACTGCCGTGCTGAGGAAGAACGCCGTATGAACCATCAGGCGTTGTCAAATTTCCCTCTACAAATCACTAATATTTTCAAGAAAATCTGTGGATATTTCTCCTTCAATTTTTCACAGGATTTCATTCGTAGTTTGATGTAAAAATTCTGCAAATTTCAAGGAAAAATATTCATAACTTTTCTCATAAATAAACATTTTATCGAAGGAAATTTAGGAACTTTCGAATGTTCCTACGGCGTTCTTCCTTAGCACGGCAGCACAAATCACTAATGAAAGCGCTCCGACTAAGGAAACAAGAAAACGCCTGCAACTTATCGTTTATGCATTACGCACGTCCGTCGAGCACGAATAATTGTATCATTACGTTACCATTAGAAAAGCCAGGGCGCCTTCAATTTTTCAGCATATGATAAAGGAAAATGTTTATCATTCTTAGCACTTGTGAAGTCATCGGTTTTTTTACTGCATAAAGAGAAAAAGCAACCAAGATCGTGTGGTAGTATGGGAAGTAGGACACAAAGTAATACGAGTTTACGGTTACTTTGTTTTAGTTGGTTTTTTTTTCTTCTGTTAAATTGACTAAATATTTTAATTCAGTTGACCGTCGTCGGACACATATTATCTGTTCATAAAGAGAATTTTAATTAAGGAAGATAAGTAAATATAAGAGAAGTTTACGAGGATTTTTCAATACTGGGGATATTTAAGGAACTAAGAAGACTTTAAAACATGTGGAAATGCGATGACTTTTTACTTCTTTACAATTAGTGGGACTTTGAAGAAAATCATTGATAAGGTAAATTTTATGTAACGGGTATTTTGGGTTACGGAATTTTCAGATTTCTTCTTTTACTTTTTTTAACCGTTGAAAGATCTAGGGATTGTTTCCAGGATTATGAGAACCTTTACACTCTGGCATCTTTTTTTTTGTTTCTCTGTGATGGCATTTGCATAGGGAGAGGTTGAAAAAAGAAAAACTCAAACATACCAACGTGATTTAACTTTTAATATTGGTGCCACTGTAATCTAGCCATAAACAAAAATGTGTGTAAATGGAGGATAATATGTTACCTTTTCAAATATCAAGAAAAACAAATAGGTGAAAAAAGATTATCACAAATCTTTGGAGGCTTAGCATATTAAAATACATCATATAAATAAAAATGCATTGTCACAAAAATTCGAAAGCGTTCTGAATCGGTGTACTTGGTGTTTCTTGACTTTTACTATACTCTTATGAGTATTTCATAGACTCAGTGAAAAAGCAATTTAATGCGCTCAATATACTTCAAAATCGAGTGATTTTTAGAAACCTCGGTGATTTCAGCTACAAAAACAAAGACACTCGAGAACAACCCAATTAATAGGATTATGAACGCTGGTTGTAGATCGTATAAATTGTAAGGTCTTGGCTCTTCAGCAGCAGAACTGGCGGTATCGTTGAACTCGTAGTTGGTCACCTTCTTGAAAGTCTTCTGAGTTAGTCCGGCCTCCAACCATCGGGCTAACATGGCGTTTAATTTCTCGAATAGAAACGAATTTTTCAGGATCGGAAAAAATACAGGATACGACATCAAACACTCTGCAACTAGGTGATACTCGATCGGGTCCTCGTGTAAAAATCGGCCCAACTTTACTCTTTTTTTCGCTCTGACGCCCTCAGGAATACTCTCTAAAACAGCATCTGCCTCCAATATAGCAGCAACATTTCGCAAGATTTCACCCATATACTTATCCATCTCTACTTCTCCCGTCGAATTGAGCTTATCACTTTTCGGTTCTGTGTAAAAATCGTCTAATTCCTTATTTTCCTCCATTTCCATCACCACTGACCGGGTGATGAACTGTAAAGTGCGAGCAATTTTTTTCCCTAATGCGTCGTACTTCTTATCATGAGACAGGAAATCTAAGGAGACATTCGTATTCGGCATCTGGAGAGAGATACCAGCTTCCTCGAATTCTTTCAGGGTGTCGATTTCCGGATATCGAACTTGCGAGGACAGTAGAGTCGTCATTCCGTTCAAGAAAACAGTGGAGATGATGAGGGCTGAAAAACTGAAAATAGTAAAAAGGACCTTCCCGGTGTGATATTGCCCCAAGAGCAGGCGTGGAGGGTGGCCACAGATGAAGTAAGAATAGACAGTCAGCAAAGATGAAGTTCCCTCGTAAGTTCTGATCTCAGTCTCCGTGTAAAGATGCTGGAAAATTTGACGTTGAGAGAGCTGGAAAGCATATTGCATATGGATAAAAACTAATATCGTGATCAAAATGAACGCCCATACTACTGGGGTGAAAGCTTTGAAAATCACCAAGTATTGAGGAACATGCTTACTATGGGGAGTGGCAATGCACAGAGTGAGAGATTCTATAGTTACGGAATAGTCGAATGCAGACCAATCGATTTTTTTATAAAGTTTTCCAAAATTTATCACGTGCAGTCCTGCCCCGAATTTGTGACCGATGTCGAACTCAGTATCTTCGCGTAAGAATGTGTCATTATACTCGGCAATGTCACGACTACTATTGACGCTTGTGCAGTTCACTGATTTCTGAAAGTCGTCCAAAACTTCGTCCAGAATATTCAGGAAGTAAGGCCATACTCTATAGTTTTCTATCGCAACCTCACCTCCAACAACATCCGACAGGAGACTTATCGGTTTTTCATGCATATTGCTCCAAGAAAAATCAAAGTATGATTCGTTTTTGCCACCCTTGTAAGATGTGATTTGTTCTGTGAATGGGTCGTATTTTTCACAGCCTTCGAGACTGCAGATTACGGTCTTGAGTCCTCTGAAGAAGCGCCAGAAGAATTTGAAATGAAACTTTTGATCAGCTCCGGTACTTTCTCCGAGGTTGCAGAATGTCGTGTTTTGAAAATCTACAAACTTCTGAAAACGTTCAGTCGGCAGTGAATTGGGAGCAGCGTTGGGATTCTCTCGTTGATACTTGTGAATCATGAATATCAAGTGATTCTTCGAGTTCCAAATTTTGTTTTCGTATAGACCACGAGTCATGTGATACAAAGAGTCCGGTAAAATTGAGGTGTCCCACAAGTCATCAGAGATTATGTCTATTGTTTCATCGCAGGCTCCTCTTAATTCTGGCTCCATTAGAATTCCATCAAAGCGAATGCAGTAGCGAGGTAGGACGTCAAATAGTTCGCAGTCGTTGTTTTTCACGCCTCTATTGTAGCGTGAAAAATTCGAAACTTTTTTCGGATCCAGCTTATCGAGAATTATTTTTTGCTGACTGTTCTTGAATTTATCTCGTCTGGTCCCGTAATTCAATATCAGACTCAACAGTTCGCCGAGATTGTTTAAGAAGAAGATCAGATTTGACCTATGACCCGAGAATTTTGAATTGGTCAATTTTCTGGGGTCGTTAATTAAAACCGTCTGGATAGAGGACTCGTGCAGAAGTTTGACCAGAGATGGCACCGTGGGATTGCAGTTGAAATCCACGACATGGAACAGTGTCTGTTTCGACTGTAAAACTGTATTTTTACACACATCAAACGCAAGTGAAACAAAAAAGTCTTCGTAGAACTCAATAGATTGTTCATACACCGGGCTGTATGTGAGAATATGTGACGTTGGGAAGAGAAAAAAGAAAAGGAAACGCATTTTACTCGACATTATACAATTTAAATGGAAAAATTGTACAGTCGCAGCTATCGTTATTGAATTGCGGGGTTTTGTACTTATAGAAATGAAAATTACAAAAGCAAGATGGATGGATTAAAATGTTGGTATTATTATCGCAGTATCAGGAATCCATTTTGTGAATTTCTTACCCAGAAACAGATTTGGCTGTTTGCATTTGAGCACGCTGTTTACGCACAATTGGTCTTTTTACACGGAATCGAACAATACTTAACGGAAGAAGGAAAATGAGAACACGCTAAGCCGAAATCTTTCAATGTACAGAGCTGTGATTCCCACAAAAATCAAAATACCACAGATCAATGTAGAAAATTTTCAGTCACAGGCATTCTAATGTGCAGCAAATATTTTTCTCGCTAAACGTAAATAGAAAACAAGTTTTACCATTCGAGATAGCTTTTATTTGAAGTGTTTTGGATACCGTGTCACACTTCAAACCCCCCTTCCTCTAACGACCTTCATTTTTTCTCACAAGGGCAAGATTCTCGTGGACGACAGTTTTGAAGTGCGATGTTTTGATTTTTGTCGTTCATTAGAACTTGTTTGGTCGTAGAATCCGAAGTGTGCCGAGATTATTCGACCTGATTGATGCAAAGAAGCTATCAACTATCAAAACACTTTTGATGTTTATCTTTATCAAATTATAAATTTCAAGGGGTGCCTCTCGAAGGCAATATTACAAGAAACCCGATGAAACATATTCCGAACCTCTACGTTTGTTTTTACGAAGGTATGAAGTTTTGAGCTTTGTGCATGGCGGTTGGGCGTCGTAAAGCGCCAAAGAGCGCTGTAAAAGATATATACATATATATATATATATATATATATATATATATATATATATAGTTTTAAGATTTCCTCATCATGGCGAACTTCTCCCTCCGACGCGCTGCATTGTGCAGCGCACAGTGGATCGAGTCAATAGGAGATGTCGAACAAAATTTGGAAACTTTAAACGCTTGCAACTCCGTTTATACTAACCTTTAAGGTTCTAAAATTAGCTCTATTGGTTTCCTCGTAAAATTTCCTTCTTTCAGCACCCCTCGAAATTTAAAATGTGACGAAGTAAACATAAAAATTTGCAATTTTAGATAAAAATTTCAGTTCCGACCTCTTTTATTGACTCGATCCACTGTGCGGCGCAGCATCTTCATAGACGTTTGGTCAAGGGTTGCTGGCGGTCTTAAAAATCAGGGAAAGTCAGAGAATTTGCGGCGACTAGGAAAAGACGGAATTCGAGGGAAAAGTCAGGGGATTTCTGTCACATCTACTAATCACTGAAACATATCGCTGATCTTTCAGCTGTTTACCCTTATGGTCTTTTCAAGGCTTGCCATCTTATAACCAGCTACTGAATGCCATTTTTAATACTTTTTTTTTATAATTGGACCTTTAAACAATGGGCTCGTTGGAAACTTCAGCTAGCGCAAGAAGGAAAGTTCTTTCTGATAGAAAATGGCTCAAAAATAACGGGAAATCTGAGATGCCCGCCTAACTCAACAATCTGTGTAAGAAATATACGTTTTTTTAAACTTCCCACTGTAAAAACGATACTACGGCAGGTGAACATTTTGTAAGAGGTGTTATTTCATTCAACCCTTAAATGTAAACCCAGTAATATGCTACGCAGTATTGAACATGAAACGGGTTTAGGGTGATTCGATGGACGCCATTTTTTGCGCAAGAGCGACGTGCGATGTATCTCATCGATCCGTTCCATAATGGAGAGTCCATGTGTGAGGAAATTGCGATTTATAACCATAGATTCTTATGTAAAAGTTTGCGAGAAACACGATGGAGCCACTGGTTTTCTCTGAAGTCAACTCCCAAGCTCAAAAAAAGCTATCAAGTTTAGGCCAAAATGGAGGGTATATCCCACGCTATCCTGAGAGTCCACCTCTACATCAAGACAAACTCTCCATGCAAAGATAGGGAGCAAATACATTAGCAGTGATGCCGTGTTTTCAGTTTTAGAGTCCCCAAATAAAGTGGCAGCCCTGTCAGTGTATTTGCTCCCTATCTTTGCATGGAGAGTTTGTCTTGATGTAGAGGTGGACTCTCAGGATAGCGTGGGATATACCCTCCATTTTGGCCTAAACTTGATAGCTTTTTTTGAGCTTGGGAGTTGACTTCAGAGAAAACCAGTGGCTCCATCGTGTTTCTCGCAAACTTTTACATAAGAATCTATGGTTAAATCGCAATTTCCTCACACATGGACTCTCCATTATGGAACGGATCGATGAGATACATCGCACGTCGCTCTTGCGCAAAAAATGACGTCCGTCAAGTCACCTTAAACCCGTTTCAAGTTCAATACTGCGTAGCATATTACTTAAGGGTTGAATGAAATAACTCCTCTTACAAAATTTTCACCTGTGCCGTAGTATCGTTTTTACAGCGGGAAGTTTAAAAAAACCCATATTTCTTAGGCAGATTATCCAGGATTATGCAGATTATAGTTTTTAGGAGGGTATCTCAGATTTCCCGTTATTTTTGAGCCATTTTCTATCAGGAAGAACTTTCCTTTTTGCGCTAGCTAAAGTTTGCAACAGGCCGATTGTTTAAGGGTCCAATTATAAAAAAAATGTATTAAAAATGGCATTCAGTAGCTGGTCATATAAGATGGTCATCTCCATTGGTGGCTCCGTATTTGATAATGGCTTCTTCTCAAGGTTCGAAACGAATGATTCCAGGAGCGGCGTGGCGGATCCACATCTCGCAGACGACGAAGGAGAAGCTGGACGAGGTGGGCGAGTACGAGATTCAATACCGAGGCGAAACCGAACTTAAGGGAAAAGGCAAAATGCCCACTTATTGGCTCCTCGGAAAGACCGATTTCAACAAGGAGCTGCCCGTACCGCCTCTGCTCGAGTGAGTACATTCTTGAAGTTCTTTTTTCTTTTTTTTTTTTTGTTTATTTGCCGCATTAATCTTTAGTACAAAAAATTCTGTTCATACAATGAATGAAACCATAATTGATAATAAAAAAAAGTAAAGACATAGGGACTGAGGCCTCAAAAGAAAAAATAGGAAAGAAACAAGAGAATAGAGATAAGAGGCTAGTTTTTAAGGGCAGGACTTCCTTGAAGAGGAAGGTTTAAGATCCGTTTGCGGCCCCGGAAACTGCCGTCTGGCATACATCGGAGGGGGTTGATTGGTCGAGAGTCTTCCTCTTGGCGGTCAAGGATGCTTTCAGGAAAGTTCCAATAGATGACCAGTGATTCTTGAAGTTATAAGTCATGACATGAGGTGACTCTTCGCCGGAGCTAAACAGGCATCGAAGTTTTAAAGAAATTTTGCTTATTTTTTGGTTTTTATCTTGAATTTTTGACCAGATCCATTACTCCTAGAGGCAGAGGCGGATCCAGCAATTCGGCAACACTGGATTTTCTCCATTTAAACCTATGCTAAATAATCGATTCTTGTCGAAATATTCGCCTCCTACGAGAATCGATACATTTCCATGATTGGAGGAAAGACAATGTTGCCAATTTGCTAGATCCGCCAGTGCCAAGAGGCAGAGTTGCAGAAGTGAAGTAAAGCATATAAAAGATTGGAAATTTCTGCGAAATATTTCATGGAAGGTCGCAAAGTTGTGAAAAATACACGGAAAAAATGAAATTGCTGATTTTAACCATTCAATCACTAAAAAAAGTTACTGCTATGTTTCAGATGTACATTTCTACAACAGTGGCAAGCTAATTTAACTACGAGGGTGGTTAAAGTAGCATTTTTTTGTTGTAAAATCTACTTTTGAACCATTGCGGTCACTTTTTTGTAGCAATTTAATTGTTAAATCGGTAATTTAATTTTTTTCATGTAGGAGAGCATAGGAGTTTGATATCATCAATCGATTTTAAAATAATCGTAGAAAACGGCCTCTTTTTCCATATGTGAATTCTATTTCGCTGTTTTTCCTCACGTTTGATGTCAGCGCATGAAATAATAAAGTCTTTATATTTTTTGCTGCCTCTTGATGGATTGTTTAGAGAGAGCCACGGGTAAGTTTTTGACAAGCATTATTACTTTAACTCTCTCCATGTGCAAATACTTTATGTGTTTTGAAAACCAGGAAACCCAATCTATTGATACAAAACTACTTCCAGCGACTTAAGTATAGACGCGAAGGTAGACTGTCGCTTAGATGCAACTATTACTGGTTAATGGATGCCCATCTTGCATATACGAACAATTGAAGGCGTTTTGACTTTTCTCGCGTCAAATATTCATTGATCCCTTTCACCGGATGGTCAACTTCGTGGTTTTGGTCTCTCTGTATCCAGTAATGCCCTACAGGCTAATTATTGAAATTGATAAACAAAGCAAATTAAGAAAGAAGAGAAAAGAAAAATCGAGCGATTCTGTCGGTAGAAACGGGAGGTTGCAATGGAATAAAGTGGTATTTAAGAATTAGACTGACTAACGGCAACGACAAGAGAGACACTTCAACAGTTAGAATTCTACTTTAGTTTCACATTTTTCCTCTTATTGCTGGTTTAAAACAAACCGGCCGTTTCAGTCAATAGAATTGCTCCATTCACCCTCGGTCAATAGTTTTGCCCATCAATTTCAAAAACCAGCCTGCTGGCATACACAATCTGAAGGCTCTACCAGGACGTATAGTTATAGGATATATTTCGTCAACGATTTTTTGTCCGCGCAACTGTTTTTTCTAGTAGTTTACGTCAACGTGATTTCTCGGCAGGGGAGTTTTGGTTCACCTACCGATTGAGACCCAAAGTTAATTGGTCCACATGTAAATACAAACCACAATCGCAAACGACGCTTTCGGATAAAAATATGTGTAATGTCTTGGAAGCATTAGGGATTGCCTGTTTTTTGTTGTTTTTTTGTTTTTTGTTTGGTCCAACGGAGAAAAATATATGATTGAGATTTTTGGTGAAAATGGGAGAGCGTCAGTTCTATGAGGGAAAATTCACTAAAACTCTCTACGCCTCTTTGGTGCAGCAGGACTTAATTATCTCTGAACTAAATCCAATCTTGTTACACCTAAACCGGATAAACCTATTGAGTTGCCTCAGCTGAAGCTTCTCAGATTTTTTCTGTGTACTATAACTCCACGACGGCGGTGCACTAGCGCCTACAAACCTAAATGAATACCTCGCGCATTGCGCAAAGCTTGAAGTATCCCCTTAGGGTTGTAGGCGCCAATGCGCGTGTCGCGCCGGCCGGCTGCTCGTGCCGCGGCGTTTCAAGCAATCATTTTGCCACGGAAATGTGGCTCAGTATCATATGAGATTAAAGGCACCCTATCGTATTATGATTGATGGTATCTTTCAAAAGCAAGAAGTTCCCTCACAAATTAAATCGAGTGACGATTACACGAAGAGAGCGGCAGTCGATAAATTTATTAAGTCCTAGTATCTGTAATCAGTAACGCTCAGCATGATTTTTGAACTTCAATACAGGAAAAAGTGACTTGATTCAAGCAGAGGTTCGCTCAAATTCACCGTCGAGAAGATTTCCACTTGAATCAGTTAGGAAAATAATGCTTGCTTAAAGAAGAAAAAATGTTTATCTAACGAGAAAAATCAGTTACAACAAGCAAAACCCCGCTTTCATTCAGCGATTTTATTCTTGATTCAAAATACAGGCTTCTTGGCGGCATCCTCAAGAATGTTTCTACCTAATTCGAGTCACTTTGTTCTCTAATGAAATTCAAAAATTATGCTAAACGTTATTAAATACGGATTCTCGAACTTAGTGAGTTTTTGGACTATCGCTCTCGTTTTGTGCCGGCCGTAGTATCTTGATTTATTTTGCGAGGAATGTACCGTGCTCTTAAAGGATGCCTGTCACTCTTAATATGTTGGAGCGCCCTCAATTTTTTGTGACACAGAGCACCACCTCTGTTGAGAAATAGCTGCTTGAGGCGTCGTCGCGTCGTGGCACGCTTCCACGCGGCAGGTGGCCAGCCAGCTCATAGGCGCCTACAAACCTAAAGGGATACTTCAAGCATTGCGCAATGCCTGAAGTATCCCCTTAGGTTTGTAGGCGCCAGTGTGCTTTTCGCGCCGGCAGCATGCTGCTCCGCTCTGTATCAGGCTCTTACATTTAAACTCGCCGAGTCAGCGTTTTTCAACTCATGATTTTGAAATGTTTGCACACACTGCATGGATTATTCTCATTTAAATTGATGGGGGAGGGGGGAATATGTATTAAAGGAAAATATAATGTGTGTGATATGAATATTGAGGTGGTTCCGTTTCAAAATTGATGATTTCTACAGCTTTTTAATTTTTCTTTCATATTTTGTGATTTTACTGTGCTGCAGCGTGGTGTATACGCAACCAAACGCTTGAAATTTGACGCATTTGACTGTAAAAGATCGATGTACAAATGGATTTAAACCAAAGATTGCACCTTTTTTTTCTTTTATTCATTTTCGTACAGTTTCTATCAATACAACTATACATGTGGCTCATTGATATTAGTATGGATGCCATCGATTAGAAAAGGTTTTACAGTCACGTTTTAAAAATTTGAACGTTCTTAAAATAAAGTAATATTTTCATTTTTTTTTAAAAAAAGGGGATAAAAAGTATATATAAGGTATATTTTATATTGAAGATCTCAAGTATAGATGTAAAACCAAATATTTACCAATGACAATTTGAAGAGATGAATAATTAGTTAGTTAGCTAGTTAATATATTTTAAGATTCAGCGTCACAGGCTAATAACGTCTTTACAGAGAATTTTGAAAATGGGTGTATACACCAAAATTTAGATTTTTAAATTAAGAGAGGCAAAGAGTCTCAGAAGACGCTGAGTGTCTTAAAATATATTGACTGACTAAGTAACTCAAAGGGAGAAAGTAACATTTCATTTGAAAAATGAATCACCATAACAACACCTCCTTCTCTCTCAATTTTCTCATTTCGATTTTGTCAATATAAGTTTTCGTGCGGAGTAAAATATAACGCTCGGACCAAGTCAGTTTTGCTTACTTTACGCGTGGACGTAAACTACTGGACAAAACAGGTGCGCGGACAAAAAATCGTTGACGAAATTTCCTGAAACTTAGAAAATACGAACTTTCAATATGAATTTTGAAATCAACCGAAAAATGTTTAGTCTATTTTATTCTACGGACTTTCTTTATTTTTTCCTCTACTTGAAAAAATAAGGTTGATGAATTTTCCAGAATCATCATCTCGACTATAGTGAAGGCTCACAGGATCAAACAAGACTAAAAATTATTTCTAATAAAGATCCTTCTATTTTTACTTTCTTTAACGGCAATATGCAAGTTCTGGCTGTTTGGCAATTCTTGCAAGCTGGCAATCGCTGGTTTGTTGCAAATTAAAATCCATAGAAAACAATCGATTTGTGTCAAGAGAGGCTGTCCGACTTAGAATCAATCATTAAAAATGGATTAAAAGTAAAGCAAAAGGGTTTCAACAACTTGCGCACAAGAAACGGCAATGTTCTATCTTTCTATCTATGCGTTAAAGTCACTGAGCTATGCTCCGTTGTCTCTGTTGGTGCCCCTCCCCTCCCGTGCCCCTCCAGTGTCATGTGCGAAACAGTGGTTGATATTTTAACATTTTTGGACTTTCTTTCAAATTGATTTCATTGAAAAATTCCCAAGAAGAATGAAATTTGTGAATCAACGTCATTCAGAAGGATGTCAATAGAATTTTTACTATCGACCAGCTGACGGCTTAGCTTTAACAGCTCTAAAACATCGAAACAAGAAAATGTTACAAGATAGCAGAGAATGATACTTCTTTTCGACACCTGGTTACATCGTCTTAATTCGTGACGACCCTATGAGTGCTCCCATTAAAACTTATTTGCGATACGTTACAAATTGACCGATTTTTGGATACTTCGGCTCGTTTCGAAGCTGACAAGTTTCTATATTTCTATGTACTATTAAAATCTCTATGAAGTTCATATTAAAAAGGTGTGGGGGATTTAATTCAAATTACGGCGGATGTGGCATAAAATACTGCCTTTGCTTCTGTTCGATTTTTGTGGGACTCGGAGTCGGAGAGTATTTTTTGAAGGATACAGTCCTTGACATAGAAGAGAACTTCTCGGCCTAAAAAAAAAAATCTGTTTTTCAACAGTCGTTTAAAATGAAGTTGAATACTTTATTTTAACCCGGAATATCATTTTAGGCTCTCCGTAGCACTAATAAGGGAAATTGCTCGTCATTTTTCATTTGACGTGCTCAGCGCAAACAGCACTCGAAGTTAACATATCAAGACTCCACTCTCTGTAGGTTGCGGTCGGACCAATATAAAACGCCTTCAATTGCGCTTGATACTGTGCAACACACCGAAGTTGATATAGTTGTATTCTTAGGTTGGAACCCAACTCGAGTGAGTTGCTCTACCAAATGAGACATGTCTGCCTGTTGACTACTATATATCAAGTTACCACGCATATTTTATGCCCATTCTTACCTGTGACAGAAATTTAAGCCTCAATTAATTTAAGAAGAGAGAATTAGCATGATTATTGTGACCAACGAAAAAGGCTCATCTGAAAGAAAACCAGTTCTCCAAACTTTTATTGTTTGTCAGGACGCCCGTTATGTACGAGGGGAGGTATTTTATGACAATAAACTCGAATTTTCAATCAAATTTTCAAATTGTTCAAATCCAAGATGGGGGAAAGGGCCTAAAATTCTATCTCGGCTGCTGTTCGATCGATTTTTTTAAAACTCGGTATCAGTGCGTACTTCTTGACCGAAAACTAGAATTTTTGGTCAAATTTTCAAAATTCCAAATCTTAAATGGGGGCAATGGCCTAAAATTTTGTTTTGGCTCCTGTTTGATCGACTTTTGCAATGGACAGTATTTGGTTGTCTCAAAGTAGCAAGTAATTACTAACTAGCGGCAACCCACGAGCTAGATTCCTTCTAGCTAGATTCCTTATTTTACCAAAAATTTGGATCGCGGCATACGCATACATTACGTATTCATTTTGTATACGTATAATTCTGTTGGCGACAACTTCATTTATTGCCTTTTGCCGATTTGAAAAGCATATTTCGTCACCTTCCGACCAAAGTATCACAAGCGCCATGCGACGCTTCAAAATTTTCAACGCCATTTTATTTTTCACAGAGAAAATGTCGGTTAAATCTGTTTGAAAATTTCGCTGAATTTTATCGGCAACACGAAAAAAATTCATCGAAATTTTCGGACAGCTTCGTTAAAAAATTTCTCTGCAAAAAAATAAAATGGCGGCGGAAATTTTAAACGTCACATGGCGCTTGTGATACTTCGACCGGGAGGTGACGATATTTGATTGCGCTTTGTCGTCTGTCCAAGACTTGAACATAGAGAAAAGAAAGAGGGTGTTTGCATTTCGGGCATCTTGGATTTTTGATGACGTAGGTCGGTTCAGCGACTTTTATCATCAATTGTCTCGGAAATGGTGTAATTTATGGAAAAAAGTCATTCCCAAAAAAGTGCTTGAAATTATATCATGAGTTGATTTAAGCAAAAAAATGGGACATTATGGTTGGTTTTTCATACTTCGAATTCCGGATTTCTCTGGCCAGGTTGTACCAACCTACGTCACAGGGTAAACAAACCTCAAGATGCAAACACCTCCTTTTTTTCTCTATGAGACTTGAATGAAACTTACTTTTGATGTGATTTTTTCTTCATGCCCAGGCTGGACGAGAACCTGATCCGCTACGGGCGAACAGGCCAGATGGACGCGCCGCCGGACAAAACACAACTGGGCACCCGAGAGGTCTCCGAGGAGAGCGGCTCCATGGAGCTCTCCGTCGAATTCTCCACCTCCCAAACCTCCCCGCCGACGAACCAGGAGACCGCCCTCCCCCAACGTCTCCTCAAGAACCAGTTCTCCCTCGACACGAAGCTCAACCGGGCCTCCGCCCAACCCACCCACGCCCCCCTCGACAAGCAAAAAACCCTCGACTTCCACCCCGCCACCGACGACGACCCCGTCGGGGTCTCCACCCCTTTCTCCATCTCCGACACGGAATTCGACACCCTCCCGCCCGACATCCACTTCATCGACCAAGCCTCCAGCTCCGCCTCCTCCAACGCCTCCAAGACCCTGGAACCGCCCACTCCGACCGCCCCCTGGCGCCGCTCGCCCCTCCCCCAGCCCAACACCGAGAGCCCCCTCATCTCCATCAACATCGACTCGACCAACAACAATCACCTGGTGTTGGACCCGGAGGGCAACAACAACGACCCAGGGTTGCCGATCTTCAAGACGGACAACGCCACCTCGTCCATCTTCCGGATCGCCAACGCGAACCAACGGAAGCAGGATTACGACCTCAGCTCGCCGTACAGCCACTATCGATGCCTGTCGCCGTTGAGCGAGGCGGGAGAGCCGGGGCATCGGTTGGGAGGGAGGCTCAAGCGACAGTTCTCGGTCGATAAGACGGAGGAGGGCGATGCGACTGCGACCGGCGGGAAACCGGTCGCCGCCCAGACCAGCGCCGGCAACCGGTTGTTCAAGCAGAACTCGGCCGGCGCCGCTACCGACCTCGAACGGATTAGCGAGGAGGTCGCAGCGGCCAATAGTAATAAGTTCGTGTCCAAGGATGATTACTATAAGCATAGGCTCAATGTCCCCTCTTTGAGGTCTATTTCGGCATCGTCGGAGTCGTTGCATTAGGACCGGAGATTAATACTCTCTCATGGACACTGGGAAAAAAAAACACATTGGATCTAGAGTCCAGACTCTTGAAAACAGTGACAAGAAAAAATACTCTTGATTCAATCGGATTTTTGCTTGAATCAAAACGAAATCCGCTTACATTAAGAGGCATGGTTCTTGATTTAAGCTAGATTCTGATTGAATCAAGAGTACTTTTTCTTGTCGATGTTTTTAAGAGTCTGGACTCTAGATCCAATGTGTTTTTCTTCCAGTGGACATTGGCCGAACTGGGGAACTGTGACGTCGTGTTGAGGATGAACGCCGTATGAGCCCTCAGACGTTGCCCAGTCTCCTTCGATAAAATAAGATTTTTCAGGGAAGTTGGTGAATATTCTCTTTTTTCGAATTTTCCAGAGAATTGTATTTGCTGTCAGGTCTAGATACATACATATGAGTCGCTTTTACAGCGCTCTTTAGCGCTTTACGACGCCTAATCGCCACAAGGCTCCTGTGACCAGGTCTAGATTATCTGAAATTTTCAAGCGAAAGCATTCATAATCCTCTTCAAAAATAAACATTTTATCGGAGGAAATCCGGCAACTTTTGAATGTTCTTACGGCGTCTTTTCTTAGCGCGACAGTATGGGCCCGGTCCTCTGGAGATCTTCTTGGTTTCCTGCAGAAAATGTGAGGAATTCTACTAAGTAAGTGCATGATATTGTCAATCTTTGAAATTGAATTTTGATTAACTTTTCGGTCAGAAAAACTCAAACTGGGCCAATAAACCTTGAGTAAATTTTGACTTGCGAACACTCTTTGCCTACGGTAAATGACGTGTATAACACGACGGGCGCATGAAATACGGTTTTCCTTCGATCACGCGCAAAAATCAGCAAAATTTTGGACTTAAAATGCACTGATACATTCTTGTAAAAAATTAAATCATTTGAGTTAATTTTGAAACCTTGGAATGGAGTTACATCACCAAAATTTTGGACAAAAATTGCACGGGTACATTCTTGTAAAAAATTGAATCGTTAGAGTCAATTTTACAACCTTGGAATGGAGTTACGTTCCTTCATACGGGAGACGACGAACTGGACTACATTTTGCAATTTGGACCTATAGATTCTAGCCCGGTTTAAAAACAACGTATGTGCCATTAGTTTCCCTATGCACATGAGTGTTTTTCCAGAAGAGGCAGAATTTATAGTTCCAAATTGCAAAATGCAGTCCAACTGTGGCACATACTGAAATACTATCTATCTTAAAAGGTTTACTGCATCAGTAGCTGCTAAGAACCCTTATAACTTCCAAAAATTGACTCCTCATTCAATCGTGAAGTTCCGATGCGATCGGTATAGATTATCGCAATTTTTTTCACAGCAATATATATGTTACTGTAGGTACATCGGAACCGAGAATCACGGTATAAGCACTGCGATTAATTGTGATGAATTTGCTACTTTTTTAATGCTGGTTTTTCGCGATGTTAACACAAATTTAAAAATATTGAAATTACATATACAATTCAGTAGCGATTCAGTTTACATCAGCATTAATCATTACATTTCATCAACTGACGAACACGTCTACAATTCCTTGCTGAAGCCCCGCATTTAAGTAAAAGACGGTGGTGAAAGTCGTGAAACACTTATCGCGAATGGAAAGAATATATTTCTCAGAAAAAAATCTCCGACTCTTTGTGCGAGCCACTTTGTCACAACTTCGCTATACTGCGCAATATAGTTGCAGCAAACTTACCATGGAGTTTTGCTCTAAAAGTTATTCTTTGAAAACTGCAATGCGCCGACATGGGAAGATAAATATTACGAGATGGAGTAATGCCTGAAGTTCTATATGATAAATAATGTTGAGCCAATAATTGTGTCAAAAAAATTAATAGCTTCCTCCAAATATATTGAAAATATGCTTCAACGTTCTTTAAACGTTCAAACTTTTTTGCAGCTTAGTTATCATCAAAAATTAGTACTGTGGAGCTCTAATGAGATCAAATGGTCTTATAGTTATTTCAATAGAATCGCACTAAGTCGCAATAAGTTTAAGCCGAGAACAAGAGGTTTGAAGTTTTATTCCTCGATCCATAACTACAAAATATGTTTTCTTGACTTTGAATTTTTGGAAGGAGAAAATTTGCGACTAGTTGAATTTAAAATTTCTCGTAACTAACTTTTTCCCAAAATTCAACTTCCTAGTTCGTTTCCGTAAAACTCAATCAGCATGAAATATTTTCATGGGTAAGTAATCGTTCTTTACTTGCCTAAATTCACTCAAATCAAACTACTCCGCACACTTAGCCGGAAAAAAATTAATAGTCTAAGTAGCAAAACGTAACAAATACAAGCTAATTACTGTCACAATGTACCTTCTACCATGTACACATATTTTTTACGATACTCTCATACCTTTAGGATAACCTTCAGATTATTTTCTTACATGAATGTTTGTGAATGATCTATTTTTATTGAAATATAATCATGTTTTCGAGCTCGTAGATCAATACACTGTTAGTAAAAGTTGTCAAACCTTTTAGATTGTTGGATTCCTTTTAGTTTAATGTTTTAATATTTGTATTTTCTATCAAGTGTTATTTCTTATACACCCTTTTACAAAGTTTATTTTCTAACTTCAAACTTTACACGGAAGTAGAATATCTTTCTCCTCGCAAGTGAATTAATCATGAATGTTCCCCAATCAAATTGTTATTTTATATTTGGAAGTACCTCTTTATTCTTAAGTAAAGACAAATTAGAATAGGTACTCATTCACTCATTATTGTAGAAATTGTTTTGATGTCTAACTGCATGTCTACACTTCCTTCTAGTCTACCTGTGTAAGATCTGTCAAATGTTAGAGACATTTTTTTGTTATCGTTCTGACTTTCCTCTTTTGTAAAATATCTATGTTTCTCTTTTCTTTTTCTTTTTTACAAATAAAGTATCCAAAAACCTCTGTTCAGATGAGTTACGTGCATTTTCTTCATGTATTTTTCCTGCAAATAGACTTGGGCTGCGTTTTGTAACCATAGAGTACATAGAGTCGTAATGTAAGTGGGAGAGCTGGCGCCACTTTTAAGCAATTTCCAGGTCCCGAATTCCGAGACTCCGCTGCGGCGCCGGGTCACTTTTTCGATACACAATCGATTGTTTGCGATACACGGGACCCGCCCATGGAATTACCGTATTTCACACCGCCATTTTGGATCGAATATGTATCGAAAAAGTGACCCGCACACCGGGCTCGGAACTCGTCGAGCAGGACATGGCACTGGCTCTCCCATGTACATTACGACTACTCTATGTACTCTATGTTTGTAACATGGACAACTTACTATTCCTGGCTTATTTTAGAAACGATGTAAGTGCCATTACTTTTCATGCGCAGATGGGTGCTTTTATGGATGAACGAAACATAGTAGTTTCTAATTGCAAAACGCAGTACCTTAAAAACAAATCTAAATTTTATTGCTTTTCGGTGTCTTTCTAACAAACTAGCAATCTAGGCAAAGTGTTCTTAACAAGTAATTAAAAAACGAAAAATGGAGGCTCGAATAAAAAAAAAAAAAAAGCCTGAAGACATTTTAAAGTCAAACCCATATTTTCTTTTGTCAACATGCAGGTTTTTAAAGAAAAAAAAAATTCGACATTTTTCAGAAATTACTTTTTCATTTTAACGGAACCTGTAAAAAATGGAAGGAAAACCCCTACAAAATTCATTGCAATTACTTGGGCTTATGAAACATTTGTATCACTATAGTTTCTTATAATATACATTATACAGCTGGATGTAATAAGAACAAAAAATAACAAAAATAATTAAAGGAAAGAGGTATGGGGACGGAGATTCAAAATTAAGTTTTTACTATATTTGAGCGTTTATGACGACTTATTTCTTTTATAGACCGGTTCAATAACTAAAAGAAACATTAAACTACGTTTTGAACTTATCTTTTCAAATCATTCATAAATTGTTTAACTCTGCCTGCAGAGTTTCGGGCGGAGCATACATTCTACGCATCGTTTATCGACGAGAAAAAAAAATTCAACATCACCGACTAACTGTATCTTCTCAGACGGAAAACCCGGACTCCTCGGGTGATTTTACATGGCCCCTCGGTTTTAGCTCAATCGGAGAACATTCAATTTTCACCCTAAAAATTTAGTCCATGTAACCCCTGCCTTCCAGTAACCTTGGCTCAGGAAACACCGGCGGCGAGTCTCGAGACCCCGCGCAATCGATTCCACGCCTCAAACTAAGCAAGATTCGACAAAAATCTTGAAATTTTTTTCCCCGTCCAAAATCGAGAAAAATCCACAGGGGTACCATGGACTAAATTTTTAGGGTCAAACTCGAAAGTTCTCCGATCGAGCCGAAACCAAGGTACTCCGCTTGGAAATGACCCGTTGAGTCCGATTTTTTGGTTGGAAAAGCTCCACGAGTCCGCTGAACCGCGCTACCGACGAAAAACGCACTTTTGCAACGGAGACAGAAACACTCGTTTTTGACCGTTTCTCGGCTCAGGGAGCTCCGGCGAGTCTCGGGACCGGGCGCAATCGATTTTACGCCTCAAACTACGTAGGGTTCGACACTAATCTCGAAAATTTGTTTCCCCTCCAAAATCGAGAAAAATCCACAGGGGTACTATGGACTAAATTTTTAGGGTCAAAATTGAAAGTTCTCCGATCGAGCTGAAACCAAGCGAGTCCACTTGAAAATGATCCGCTGAGTCCGATTTTCTGGTCGGGAAAGCTCCGCGAGTTCATTGGAGCTCGCAATCAGCAGATAATTGGATGGGTGCGAAACGGCGGGTCACTAGTGTTTCCGACCGTTTCTTCAGATTCATCGGCATTTAATTGTCTACCAGTCGAGCGGGCCTGCGGCTTCGTGGAGCTTTTTAGTCCAAAAAATCGGACTCCTCGGGGCATTTGACATGGAACTGGCTTGGTTTCAACTCGATCGGAGAGCTTTTGATTTGAAGAAAGTAAGTCTGTACCCTGATCAAAGAGCCTCCTAAAATTTCACTAAAGTGGATCGGGCAGGAGCCGAAGTAGCATATACCTACCAAACCCA